TACTATAAAGCCTTATCAAACCCCACTTTGGTGACAATTGACGGACCAAATGCACTGACAGCAAATTTTTGGTCAACGTTGTTTTTGAAAAAAATTTATGAAGCTAAAGTACAAACGTCTTAAAAAGGATTTCGAAACCAAGAAGTTCATGTTTATTTTAAAGGAGGTCTGCCATAATGCGGCTTCGGCAAGAAAGATAAATCAGCATAGAAGATTGCATAAAAACTTCTAGCGTGAATTACTAGCCCTGTTTTGAAATTTCTCGCTTAAACCGCTGTAGGGCTATGAACTTTCGAAGTTCAAAATATAGGGACCATTATCTAATCTACTGGGGACGTTGCATGCAAAGTTGTTTGTATATTTTTTCTCTAACGTTGCATTCGGCTCAGGCTGGCACCTGGTTTGCGATAACGATATCTTAGTTGAAAACTAAGACCACACAGTCAGTCTTATTCAAAGGGGGCATGCGATCAAGGGTTATGGAATGGTCCTATACGTGCCAAGCCAGTTAAAATACCATGAAGACGAACCATCCAGTTTGGTGGTTTATCTTTACACGTAGCTACCTTTGCTCCGGTCATTTGTGAAACAGATGCGGTAACTGTTTGAATGGCTTCGTCATCATTTTGTTGTGCGCCCTATCACTGAAAACCTTATATATCTGATATCCTTTTCACCGCTATCTTCTACTAATCGTAGTTATGTTTCAGCCTCTTAGTTTTTCAGATAGTCTTCACGAGAGTAAACTCCCGATCTTTACAGTAATCTCCATCTTGTAGTTTTCACACTCTCCTATATCGGAGATTTAAATACTAAATTAAGGAGCCCAGTTTGGTTTGATTTCAAGTCTGCCTGACCACGTGGTCTATAGAACTTTGACTTTGTGACATCTAGGGCGTTTTTTGTATAGGTTGGTTTGATAGAACTTCTATCAACCTAATTTCATGATGATGAGTGTAGGATTTAATTTGTCCTACAGATATAATTCTAGAACAGTAAACGCAATATTGGCGAGCACAGAGTCTATGGGAAAGCCACAGTTAGAAGTTCAACTTTGCTTTGAACTTTATCTGTTTCTAAACATAAAAACAATTACATTAGTACAATAACTAAGGAAATTACAATCATCAAGGAAGACGAGCAAACGTACCGACCAATATAGCGTGTCTTATAGAAATGAGTACAGTTATGAGTCATATCAATATAATAAGATAATAATGTCGATCAGTTTGTAGGTCATTTACAACAAAGAAGGTTTCCAGACAGGTCAGGTCAGGTCACGTGGTGGGCGCTTAAACCACAATCTGATTGGTTAGTTATGGCATAACTACAATTAGTTATAAAATAACTAACAATGAGACTTTAGCTCGCGGCTACGGAAGAAAAGTGACTGAAGACTATGCTAGGCCATTTATCTGCAAACTGCAGTTAGGAACCCAGATGTTTCTTAGATTATATAATACTGGTTCATCTCTAGTTTGTACCCATTCGAAAGTTTTGCCGTAGTTTTCAGCAGTAGCCACATGTCACATGCCACATCTCCTAAAAAATTATTTTTCAGATTATGAATTTTGGCTTTACTTTACTTTTTTCGCCAAAAAAAAATCCGGGCTTTATGATTGGGTTTCATAGGAGTTTGCTAACCAACAAGGAACAGAAAAAACTAGCTTTGATTTCTGCTTTCTTCTTGTTCTTATATCTCATAGACCTCATTGCAAAATTTTCTTTCTTCCATCTAGGTCGGGTAATCAGTGTAAGGCTTACGTTAGGCACTCGTGCATTATTATGTTTATTTCCGATGGAGAACTACAGATTCAGACTCAACGATATTTTTAGAGAAGTTCGTCATTCAAGTAACTTCTGATAACAACTTTATTGCCTATTAGCAGCGTTCCAATCATACACAAAATTATCCTGATCTGGTGCCTTAGAAAAGACGAAGATGATGGAGTGATGGAAACTGTGTGGTAACGCTTAGTGCATTCATTAATGATGACTATAAAAACTAATCGGAAGAGTAGAAATACCACTTCTGCTCTTAGATAGCCTTTATGAAACAAAAAATTATACACAAAGGATTGTATAGTCTGAAGGCATTGATGATGCCAGCGTTAAGGATATTGTCTGAGGCCATGAGGATTTCGTTATATGGGTTAACCCGGTCGATTTTAAAAAGACAGCCTTACCTTACAAGTAATGGATAACGGCGAGAAGTTGTTTTTTTTGTTAATATATCAATTATTACGAGCTCGATGTCAGAAATAGCTATGTTTATCGGAGTTCTTAGACAGTGAGAATACGTATTGTCGGTTAGATTGTCAGATCGTTCCTGATTACATCATGTATTTTATTCATTTCTATCCTACCACGGCAGTTCAGTATATGGTCAGCAAAATCTCAATAATCCAAAAGGGTTTTGCAGTCATCAAGGGATGTGAAGCAATCTCCCATACATTGAAATTCCTTAGTAAGTTATAGACTGTCTGTTCATAATTGCAACTTTACATAAACCAGAAATGGTGTAGTGGAACGCTTCTACGAAGATAACGTGATCGGTGAGGAAAAAACATTTATTACTGCACTCCTTTTGTTTAACTGTATTAAAAAACATTCGTAACCTTCTTTTTGCACTGCTGTCGTCATTCATACCTCGCTACTCGTTGTATCGCCCACATTCTCCTTCAAATATACTCTTTACCCTGGATTTATTTGTATTCATTGTGACGGCATAGTAATTAGTATTTAGTAGTGACCATATTCAAGTGTGACTCGATTACCACTTAAAGGCTATTATGAAAATCGGTAAGTTTTGGTTTTGGTGATCTTCCGAACCTTACCAAGATAGGAATCGGGTTCATCAACTTCATCTTTGCTAAAGGGAGACTGGAACCATTTGAACCCGTCCCGTGGGTTAAAATGAGAAGAGATATCCGGAGATGATTACTAGATGTTTGTCAACTGATGAGTTCTTGCATACACAGGAACAGCCCTGTTGCTGAGCTTTGTCAAAATTTGATATTTTGGAAGAGTTATTCCAATACGTGTCGTTTAGTACCTTTAAAACCCATTTGGTAATCCATTAAGAGTAACTCCGCATATGGCATATCATTCAATGATCGCGGAAGACAGCTTCTGGATAGCAGACCCAGGATTCGACGGTATAAGGTCAAGACATGTTCTGTGCTACACAAGAAGATGAAGTCTAAATATTTATAATTTCGATAGCTTGTCAAGAGAATAAGAATAAAATATATAAATGCTAGAAAACTCTCTTAAAAGGCAGGATAAGTCTGTATACCCACTATTGTCATAAAATGAATTCAAGGCCGATGAAACAGCAAGAAAGTGATAACGAGATTCGAAAGTGTATTAGAAGTAAGGGACAGTGAGCTGTAATGTGTAGAATTTAAAGTTCCGCCATGAGGCCTTCGAGGGTTACTGCCGGTCCCAGTACCGTGTAAAGGAGGAGGATTTAGCATGAGGTTAGCAACCCTGTGCCGCGGAACAACAGCTCGCTAAAAAACGACAACCCGAAAAAAATAGTTCAACTCTTTAAACTGTGACTTGGTAGTTGAAAGCTCTTCGTTTATCAGAGTTATGACGCCTAGTAGTGAAAGACGAGTTTCTCTGGAGCTCACCAGGCCAACGTCCCCCTTTCGTAACCAGAGTAACCACTAATATAGGTACATATTGTGGTAAACCGGAATAATCACTCAGGCCGCTGCAGAAACGAAAAGATACAACTGTTTGGTGCTTGGGATAAGTCAAGCACATTGGATGTAGGCTGAACAAAGAAGAATAGCTTCAGGAAAGATGCTGTTATTCTCTAGTTATGACGAAGTGCCTCACGCACAAGGAGTTTCTGTCCAAAGAAGCACAAAGGGAACTTTAAGATGGAAATTTCATGGACTCAGTCTCATCAGAGCATCCTAAATGTGGGGACTTGAAGAACCCCGAAAGTCACCATTCACAAGATACATGTGTTTATTAACAGTTGTTCAAACACCACCAGCAACAACCTAGAGGCAAAACCAGATTCCGGCTGAGGAATAAATTAGTAAATAGTGCCGGAGGTTGATAGAACTTGTCTTGAGCAAATCACCCTACTGCATCCGGAGGCAAGCCCTAAATCGGAATCCTCAATGCCAAATGAAAAGACGAAGACCAAGGAATACACCACACTGAGTATTGGTGAGAGACATGAGAAGAATGAGAAACGATTGGGAACAGCTGGAAAGGATGACCTCGAATAAAGTTGACTGAAGAATGCTGGTCACTGACGCATGCTCCATGAGGGTGAAGTGTGACGAGTTGCGGTTGACTAAAATCACCACTACTGACTAACTACGTTCCCGTCATTAAGTGTAACATCTCCGTGAATCAAGGGCAGAGACGAAGAGTTAATCAATACAAGGGAATATATTTCCTGGCGATTTTGTGGAATGGAAGTAATACTGAAATCGTGCCAGAAAAGAGGGGCAAAGTTACAGTTCGTGGTAAAACCGAAAATGGCAACAACACAAACGGAAAGTTCGCGCACACATAGTACAAATAAACCAAAGGTTCAGTGAAACAATCACCGGTGCAATTGGTTATAATAATGAATGTTTCTATTAAGCCAATCGTGTTCTCTGCCTAAAAGTTAATTCACTACAAATTTTACCCTGATAATTATTGCCAGTGCTTGAATTTACTCGGTTGTACTCGAAGTAAAAGGAGTATTCAGAATATATATTATCCTACATTAAAGAATGCAGCATATCGCAAATTCACAGAATTCCGTTGCATCCTAGAATTTTTTGAAGATTATAGTTAATGACATAAGTTCCCACTATTCTGATGATTGAAGTAAGCATTACGACATTATCAACTGTTCCGTACATATTTAATCCATGAGACATATATAGTAAGTAAAATGTCACTTCTAATCTACCAAGCCTGTCCAAATCGATCTTTATTTTTTATTCAAACCTTTATCACAACATATTGTTTTAATCGATACTTTCTTTAGTAGTTAGGCCGGGTTGAATTCTTCGGGTTGTTAGGGATCTTTGCTTACGATGAGCAAAATTCCAAGAAAAGGTGAGAAGTTGGGAAACCATGTGTGAGATTTGTCCGTGTTAATATTTTTTTGCCTGCTTGTCTTCGTATGCTTGCATTCACATCTTTACTGACTTCTTTTATTTAGTTGTCGCCCTACAGAGCAAGAAAAAAAACAAGCAAATCAAGAAAAATGCTACAAAAGATAAATCTATTGGGAACAAGTGGTAAGTCGTTTGTAAGACATTGCTCAATGGCTTTAATAATATGGATTTTGCTGTTGCGAAACTCCACTGAATCACAACGGTCATAATATTCCATTGTCTTGAATATAAGGCTACATTTTGTAGTTATGAGTACAGAATTAATCGCATCAAACAACCTAATCCACTCTTGTTAACATATCTGACTTTTTCAGTAACGGTTCTGTAGAAGACCATCCTCAACCACAATCGCAAAACGATCCAATGCCGAAGACTGAACAGGAACCAACGTACTGCGAGTACTCACGAGATGAGATATTGGAAGAGGAAGAGATTCTCGGAAGTGATGATGATGAGCAAGAAGACCCTCGAGATTACTGTATAGGTTGGTACTATGTTCAAGTCTCTTAATGCAATCTAGGTGGTTACCATCCTGTTAAGATCGGGCAGGTATATAATGCACGTTATCATGTCGTCCGCAAACTTGGTTGGGGGCACTTTTCTACTGTATGGTTGTGCTGGGATTTATGGTTAGCTCATTATTATATTGTATTTACATCTATAGTTCGAAACGTTTCGTCGCAATGAAAGTGGTCAAAAGTGCTCCTCACTACACCGACACAGCTCTTGATGAGATAAAGCTGCTATCTTGTGTAAGTTTCAGATAAAAAGTCTAACCTAGCTAGGTTCGTGAATCTGCTCCTGACGATCCTTTCCAGAACAAAACAGTCCAATTGCTAGATGATTTCAGAGTTTCTGGTGTAAATGGCAACCGTATCCTTTATCAAATATAAGATATCTATGGTGCTGAACAGCAAGAGTATTTTGACTTTTAAGAATATCTGGTTCAGTGCATATATTCCACAAAGTATATCTCGAATTTACGTGATATCTGAATTCCTCATAACATGTTAATTCATTCCACTGGGTTATACTTCTCGAATCATATCTTTGATCCCTAGTCTTAATTACCTGTAATACTGCTACAACCTCTTTTATTATGGGCTTCGAACTGATAATTCCATCTGCTAGTGTGGTATATAAACAAACTGATGTACTTACGTGCCAAGTTCTACGTCGCAGCTGGCTAAATTCACGTGAGAAAACATCTTGTTGTAAAACTCCCTTAGTTCATTTCGCTTGCTAAACTAGGTATGCCGTTGGCACAAACTTCGCGGGTAAGTGTATTGATAAATACCAATATTCTAGTCTCAGATATCTTGAAGTCTATCCATTTGTTTTACAGTTCATTGGCGTTAGGATGTCGTATAACTAGAAGCTACATGGTATTGATTTATGAGGCTTATTTTGTATTAATTCTCTGTAGGCGCATACTGTCAGTTCAAACATAAGCTCTCAGATATTTTGTTTTTAGAAGTCTTTTCATGCCATGGATTCCTTAACTATTCCTTAGATGTCTGCATGATATTTGAGGTTCTTGGTCATAACTTGTTAAAACTCATAATCAGGTCTCAGTACCGAGGAATTCCGCTTGAAAATGTTCGTTCTATTATCAAACAAGTGAGTGAAAACATCTTTTTTCTCTAGTGCTCATGGCTTTTGGTTTGCTGTTTATGTATTTTCCGCCGTTTTGCTCTTCGGATTTTTTTACCTCATTAATATTCACAGGTAAAATTCTCCCAGCATCTGCTAGTATATATATATATATATATATATATATATATATATATATATATATAATATTGGCAACTAGTCTACCACAGATCGTTGCAAAAATTATCCTAGGAAATTGCTTATTCAAGAAACTGGGTTATCAATATTCCGAGTATTATTATGCACATAACGTCTTGAGAACTCTAAACACTGGAACAACGTAACCGTAATGATAAATAACTGGTTGGGAATAGTAATAACCTATCACGGTGTGCAAACAAACTGCTAGTCGTCTTTTGTCTTTGAGGACCACGAGTTCTTGATTCAATAAAAGACTTCAATATTTTGTGAAAGTATTGTATTTTTCTTAATTTGAGTCCTACCCATGCATTAGTGAAAGCTCACTAAGAGTAAGATTACAGTGCGTTTGGATTTTCCTGTAGCTTGCGACAGACATCAAGGTCGTGAACCTAATGTACAATCGGGCACCAAAATAAACGTGCCTCACCCAAATAAATGGATGGAATTATGAAGTGATATATGGGGAGTAAACGTAATCAGAATATTAAATGAGCAAAAGTAAGTGTACGAGAGGTGTATAATGAGATAAACAGTTCAGTTAAAACCGCCATAAAATCCAGTCATGACAGGGCTACCACTATCTTCTGTCTTGAATTGTGTCTGATAACCTCCTAAGCCACTGGGTTGCACTCTCTCTTACCGCAACTAGAGAGTCGTAATGCACTGATAAACGCAAGTTTTATACAGCTTGCGCACTCTGATACCATGTCATTTAGTAATCATTAAAAGTTTACATGTAATTTTCAGTGTTGCCGTTTTCACTGGTTGCCTTTTGAAACTTACCTATTCTTCTGTCTCTATAGTCTAGAACTTAACCAAATGCACATTTTAGGTCTCTAATCATACAATAACCTACGAATTATTTAATGAGTGGTTATTTTGTCTTTAGACCCTTCAAGGACTTCACTACTTGCACACAAAATGCCACATTATTCATACAGATATCAAACCGGAAAATATTTTGGTTTGTATTTCTGATTCCCAAATCCGTAGAATGGCAGCAGAGGCCCTTGATGCTCAGAGACGAGGTGTACAACTATCAGGCTCTGCAGGTGAGATTTATTTGTAACGAATTATTGAGTAGTTTGAAAATAAAGCTTATAATTCAATATCTGTGTAAAAAAAGACTTAACAACTTAATTTTTCATTCTCATCAGTATTTTAAATGTGGTGAGTTCGGCTTTGGCTCTCAATAGCATTGCGATACCGCGATTCATAAGTTTAAATACTCAACTCGTTACCACTGGGTTACATATCTAGTTTATGTTTCAATTATTTTTATTTAAATACACTGTTGGCGTCATCGTCATTGTATTTAGTTACTAAGTGGTGTTATATTTCATCAAAAATAATGAATCGTAGAATACACTAACTACCAAGGGGTCTTTAAGGATATTCTATTTTTCACAATCACAATTAGGTTTTATCTTCGCAAATTCACTGAAATTTGTGTTGGCATCTATTATTAAATGTTTTGTTTAAAACTTTATGGTTCGTTAACGCAGCTACTGTACATGTTAAACGTTCAGTAACTCGCGGGGTTCTCATGTCTCCAAACTACCAATCAAAACTCCAGGATAATGAGTCAGTTGACCTGTATATGTTTGAGGCTTACTGGACGTAGGAAAGACACCACAAGGAAACCTCTTAGGGTTCTGATTAATGATAACGTAGCTAAGAATGTATTTCAGGAACAATTACAAAGACAGGCAGCCATTCAGTAAGTGATGCCCACCTTGGGGCAGCTTGGAATGTTATCCAAAAAGCTGTGGAAGCAGCAATGATATATGCTAGTAAGGTAAACTACGAGCGCGGGGAGAAGAGGTGGATTTCAGTACCATCTACCAAACTGATGGATGCTCGAAAACATCCCGTCTGGCTCTGAGTACGATGAGGAGCTAAGTCAGCTTAGGCGCAAGCTGATAAAAAGCCTACGCAATGATCGCGAACGGTGATGGGTAGCGAAAGCAAGAGAGATGGAAAAGGCAGCAGCGATAGGCAACAGTAGACAACTATTCAGATTTATCAAGGAAACCGGTATTAGGAATCTGACTCTAAGCGAGACTATCTAACAAAAGGACGGCCGTATTATTCAGTCTCGATCCAGAAGATTGGATCGATGGGCAGAACACCTTGAGGAGCAGTTCAATTGGCCTTCAGCTACACTTCGGTTGCCCACGGCCTCTAGTCAACCTGAATGGCAAATCGACATATGTCTTCCGATTCCGAAACCAGGCTGGTTTCAGACCTGGTCGTGGATGTGAAGTCCATTTCACACTAGGACAGGCCTTGGAACACAGCCACACATTTAGGCGTCCGACAGTAATTGTCTCCCTGTACCTTAAAACCGCATTCGACTCTGTTGATCGTGGCAGTGTCTTTCAAAGAAGTACATTAACCTTATACAGGCTCTCTATTCGAACACTACCGATCGAGTGAGAACTTATTGCGAACTGTCACCGAAATTGATTACTTCAAGTGGTGTCCGTCAGGGCTGTGCACTTTCTCCATTCTTGTCTAATTTTGTCATAGACATGCTTCTAGATATAACGTTGTCTTTGTCTGGCTTCTCAGGAGACACGCTTGATAGCTTAGAATATGTCGATGACAGTTGTATTCGGTGAAGACGCTGACGAAACGCAGACTCTTCTGACTACCATAAGCAACAATGCAAGCATGTTCGGATGCGATTATCTCGGTTGAAGTGCAAAATGTTGCTTCAGGTTTGGCTTGTATCGGCACATGAACTAGTGATAGGGAGTGAAGTAGTCGAACGTGTAGACCGCTTCACGTATCTGGAGAGTCTGATCAGTGCTGATTGCTTGGTGACTGACGAAATCTCAGCACGAATACAGAAGGCTTGACTGACTTTTGGTAACTTGCGTCACTTATGGCATAGACGAGATATCCGTCTGCTGAATAAAGGAAGAGTCTACTGCACAACATTTCACTCCGTCCTACTTTATGGTTGTGAAACACGGCCAGTCGGAGTAGAAGATATTCGTAGGTTACTGGTTTCCGTTCATAGTTGTCTTCGAAGTATTCCTCGTATGTCCTGGGACAACCGAGTGAGCAATGCTGTTATTAGGAAACGTGTGCTAGGTAAGGATGGCAGATCAATAGATGAATTAGTGAAACTTGATCAGTTGAGGTGGGTGGGACTTGTGTAGCGTATGCCTAACCACCGACTGCCTCGTCAAGCTATGTTTTGTGGTGTAGGAGTAGGTTGGAAGAAAGCTAGAATCGGCCAAGCCGAAATATGGCAGAAATCCATGAAGTTAGTGGCAACTGGATCGAGTCATGTTAGTAGGTACGTGTCGACTACCTGGTCGGGGTCCGCGGGATGTTAGTAATCGATGGTTAGAGACCTTGAATGACATGGCTCAAAACGGTTTGCAATGGCGCAGATGTATTCATTCCTAATGTTCTCTGAAATCCTAATCTTCTGGATTCTTCATCACTTTACCTTGTTTTAAAGTTTATTGCACTAGATTCTATATCTTGAATATTATCTTCAATCCGTAATCCTTCTGATTACTGCTAATACCTTTACTTCCTCTACTACTATGGGATTTAAAGTGACGATTGCTTATCTGCTAATGTGGTATGGCAACATGAACTGATGTACGTACGTAAGAAGTTCTACGTCGCTATAGATTGATTGAATGATTTAAAAACTCTTGGTTAAAGACCTTGAATGGCATGGCTCGAAACCGTTTGCAATGGCGCAGGTGTATCCTTTCTTTCTGTTTTTTCAAACCTTAGTCCTCTTCGAACCCTAATCGTTCTGATTACTGCTAATTTGTCTACTACCTCTACTACTTTAGGATTTGAATTGACAATTGCGTCTCTTTGCTAACGTGGTACGGCAACCTGAACTGATGTACGTACGTCTCGAAGTTTTACGTTGCAACTGACTGACTCGAATCATTTCAAAAATATATTCAGTTTGCTGAATTTTTCGATGTTAACGTCATGAATAACTTATTGATACCAGCAAACTTTATATTTTCTATATGCATCAGATTTTTTTTATTAACAAATTATTACTACGTATAGTTTTGTGCATTATCTTTAAGTTTATGGCATTAGCTTCCAAATTTTAGTATGGAAGGGTAGTTAAGTTTTTCAGGCATTCGAGTCACTTCATTACATTTCAAGTTCGAACCCTCTCTACTCGATCTCTCGTAGGCGCATAGATCGTGTCGCTATCTCACAAATAAATTTTTACAAGCCGAGCTTATAAATATACGTGATAAGTTTTCTCAAACGCGACTTAAAAGGTTCATGAATCTATAATTGATTAATCACTGTGTAGTGACTAATTTTATGGATGTCAAGTTATTCCTAATGCTGGCCAAATTCTATTGATTAAGTTCATAAATCTTATAAATAGGATAATAAGTATTTTTAGTAAGTTTGTGCGTTTGCTTTACAAATATTGTTGGGTTTTTGTCCATTATATTTATACAGTAAGTACGGCACCTAAAGAAAAACTAGATAAAACAAAAATGACAAAAAGTCGCAAGCGCCGTCTGAAAAAGCAACAACGAAAACAACAAGCTCTTTTGGAACAGGAGCTTGATGAATTGGAGGAATTGGAATCACAAGAACATGAGCGTCGTTTGATGGATATGGGGCTTGTTCCTGCTGACAATGAGGAAGGCTATGAAGAGCCGAAGCAAGCTGAAGCGTCTCCAGAACAGTCATACTCCAATGAGACCAACACTACTCCTCCAACAGCGGATTCACGCGATGTCAGTTCAAGCAGAGATTGTCAGAATACAAATAACACTGGTAGGTATTTCTTTCATTTTGCCTGAAAATGACCAAATGTCAGTCGCTTCCCAACTATCGGCAGGATTACTTATGGCTAGATTTCAAATTTGTAAGGACTCTATAGGGGTAACTTGTTCTATAATCACTTTGGTAGATTTTCGACGTATCATTTTAAACTTCCAGTTGGTTTCCCTATGTATAATAGTACATTTCAAGTTTCATTCGTAAATGTTTGAAAATTGAATTAGATGTGTTTAGTAATTATACATTTCACTTGTGTAACTGCTGAAATCAATGTCTCCAACAGCAAAAACAGTAATGGTAACAATAGATAAACCTAATAAGAGTAATTAAGTCCTGGTTTTCAAAGGAATAGGTACTATAACGTTTAATTTTAGAAACGGATAGCCACTAAAGTCAGATCACTTGGAGAAAAGTTGCAGCTATTCCATTTTAGTAGCTGGTTGCTGTTAATAAAGTTAACTCTTTCACCTGTTTTTTTTTCATTCAAATAGCTAATAAGATCAGCAGCCTAAACCAAGCACAATTTTCTAGATTCTCCATTCTTTCGGTTCATCAAGTGTTATGTCTGATTCGTCTCAGATTTAAGTTCTGTTGCTCTAAAGTAGGACCCCAAGTATTACTCAGAACTTTTACGGAGTTTAACCTGGATTCATCTATTAATCCTCAAATCTGAAGTTTATTCCAATCACTAATCTACTGTTTATTGTATAACAGTAACAACAGAATTCATGTTTAAAGGTTCATTGCGAGACATTACATTTGTTTCATTCGCTAATCTGACAATACGTCATCTCATTAATGTATTTATTTGTCTGTATAGAATTTTCCCAATGAAAAGTGGTTTGAAATGTTTATCCGTTGCAACTATTTCGGTAATAGGTTTTCAGTAAATTTTGCGACATATCGGTCTTAATGTAGATTTTTAATCTACGCCATTTGAGCGATTTTGGAATTGCTGGTATTATAACTCCAGTTTAAATTTTCTGGTAAAATGTTATTTTAAAAATATGCTGAATAACTGAATCTATATTCACTGACAAGTAGTTCTCCGTAGAAGTCAGTTCTATAATTTAATTGTTTAGTTTTTCCTTGCATCAAGATCTAGCAGCTAGTAGTATTACAGTATCTAAGGTCCAATACTTCTGTCTTATTCAATTAACGTTTTATTTTACAACCAACCTGAATGTTTTACATAAACGAAATGCAGCAATGTAATCCAGCCTAAAAGCATCTATTTCTGGCTCATTACTTCAGTCCAAAGATCCCTTCATTCTTTCATCACCTGGTTTGGACGATTCATCGATACGGATCTTCAATAGTATGAGCAATCCAACCTCGAACATTCTTGTTATTTACTGTTTTCCAACTGATTTGCCGTTAGTAGTGCTTGTTTATTTCTTTGCCGAAAATCCAATTTATGTGCATTTATTCTTCTACAATCCTCACCTTTTACCTATCTTATCGGATGAATTGTACATTAAACTTGCTCATAAAGCTTGCTACTACGGAGATATACTATAAACATCAAAAACACGTTTATTTTCAGGAGGCACTCATCTGTTATTAAAATATGCAACTGAAGATAAAAAGTTTTAGTTTTCGGCCTCTAGTTCAACATGAACCAATGAAATCACATGAGCATGAGTCCTGTGACAGAACTAACATTCCGGAATTCAAGTATTCAAACATAAATTCAAGCAAGAAGATGATCCTTATTATCAACCGGTTTCAAAATAACATCCAAATTGCTTCGTGTGTCTTCTCATTTTTACTCGTCGATGCATACTCAATAAAACTCGAAAATTCGATTGAAAGGAAGCATAATCATTAGCAATAAAAAGATGCAAGAGATGCATTGAGACACATTCGATATAAACGTTTCCCTTCTACTACCCGGACTTCCTGTCGATAACTCAATCTACTTGTTTAGACCTTGGTAAGGCTACTTTCCTATGCGGACTCCCAACATACAACTAAAATATTGGTCACCTAGTTGTCCGGTTCAATGAATACTTAATTACAACAAAATATCGTTCCATATCACTCTGTTAATTGATTATACAGTGATATTTAAATTTGAAGTGAAAAGTTCCCATTTCGCTTACGGATCTGAAGGTCATGGTCGTGATCCAGCCACGTAAAACTTGCGTAAATGTTATAAATCAAGTGAAAAACTGCCTACTAGTCCACTTATAGTTTCTAGACTGCAAGAAAGAATTACTATAAGGTGAAGTTTCCTTTTCTTTAGATTAGGAATTAGAAAAGTACTTATATCACTAACAAGATCATTGTATAAAATAAGTCTAACATGTGCTTTAATAGAAGAACGACTTGAAATGAGGAATATTACTTGATTGTCTACTTAACTCATCAGAAATTACACGGAGCTCTTTTATTTTTTAAGTTGACTTCTATGATTCACTGATAAACATTATGTGCTTCCAAACCTGCTCATCGAAATGTTTGTGTAGCAATCACTCTCAAGTGTTCCAAGAAACCGGTTTTTTCTCCTGATAAGCTTATTCCTCCTCGCAGAAAAAGCATAAAAACCCTTTCTTTCTTTGTTTTCGCCTGTTCTGGTAGTTGGTGCAGTGTTTATGGATACTGCGCGTGCTGTTGTCTCGGTGTTAGGCTATGCAGCCTCCATTCCATTCAAAGTTTGCAGCAGTATTTTGGAAGACAAAACAGTTCCTACTAATAATCCTCCTAAAATATCGTCCGTTCAAAATGACGAGCAAAGTCTTTCATGGTTAGGCAATGATGTCCCAGGTTTCATCAATTATGAAGACCTCAGAATTAAGGTTCCTAGCCCACTTCAACCTGGAAAAAAACGTACAGCCTCTATTTCTGTCGATTTCACTTCATCTGAGTCCTCAACTATCTCCCATGCAAACGTTCGCAGTCCTCCGCCACATCGCTCATTTTTTCACCTTGCTTTCTCTCCTCTGGCTGATCGACTAGTCCGGAAGTTATCCTGGCCATTTATCTCCAGTGAGTATTTTATTCCACATGTGCATCAATGCATCTGCTTGCTTCACAGTTGATGATCCGATTCTGATTAGTTGTTTTATGTTATCCTGGCAAATCGCAAAAGGATATCGTGATATTGCTGCAATACGTGTAGGTCAGTTTTCTAGACGGATTCACAACAACACCAAAGGACTTGAATAAAGATGTTTTCATGTATCAACATTATCTGCACACAGAAAATGAAGTTAATCTCAAACAGCATCAGGCTTCCACGGTGTGGGCAGCCGGGAAGTGATAACCGCCCTCATACCCGCAACAGCACACGAGACAAAATTGTTCAAAATCAAATCCTTCCCACATTCCCTAATGCCTCTCTTACCTCCACAACTAACTCTTCTCACATTCATTTATTACAGTGCACAGCTAATGCAAAGGATGCGAGTTTGCGAAACGTCGTTCCTGGTCTCCTTAAACCCCGTTCCAAACTACATGTTGGAGCATTCAATGTACGGACATTGTGTCAAATAGGGCAACAGGCATCATTAGCTAGGACTTTAGAATCTCGTTCCATCGATGTGTGCTGCGTCTCGGAAACGCGCATACAGGATCCGAGTAGCATCACTCATTTGTAGGTATAGCATTGAGTCGTAGGGCAGAACAATCTCTCCTTGACTGGATCCCTGTAGATAGTCGCTTGTGCGCCGTCCGACTCAACGGGAAAGTAAGGACTCGGAAAGATAGGGACACTCGCCGTTGCCTCTTCGTCATATCAGCCTACGCCCCCACTGACTGCAGCCCAGATGATGTAAAAGATGAGTTTTACAGAAAGCTTTCGGACCTCCTCCAAAAAGTTAAGCGCTCTGATATAGTTATAATGGCTGGTGACTTCAATGCACAAGTAGGTAGACTAAGTGAAAATGAAAGACACCTAGGTGGATGTTACGGTCTCGCGGCTCAAAGAACAGACAATGGCGACCGTCTGTTGCAACTGTGCTCAGATAACCAACTATTTCTAGCAAACGCTAATTTTAAGCATAAGGAAAAACACCTTTTGACCTGGCGACCCCCGAAGTCGTCTCAACGTTGGACACAACTAGATCATATCGCCATCAGCCACCGATGGAGGGGTTCGATAGAGGACTGTCGATCGTTCTGGGGCACATGTTTAGATTCAGATCATGCCCTAGTGCGAGCACGTATTTGTTTGAGGCTTGCTGGACGTAGGAAAGACACCGTAAGGAAGCCTCTTAGGGCTTTACTTGATGATAATCAAGCTAAGAAAATATTTCAGGAGGAACTAGAAAAACAGTTAGGCGGCCATGCAAGTGATTCCCATCCTGAAGCAGGTTGGAATGATATAAAGAAGGCTGTGGAAACAGCAATGGTATCTGCTAGCAAGGTAAACCACAATGCTAGGATGAAGCAGTGGATTTCAGTCGCATCCACCGAACTGATGGATGCACGAAAACGCATCCCACCTGACTCTGAACATGGTGAAGAGCGTAGTCAGCTTAGGTGCAGACTTATAAAAAGCCTACGTAACGACCGTGAACAGTGGTGGGTGGCGAAAGCAAAAGCGATGGAAAAGGCAGCGGCGATAGGCAACACTAGACAACTTTTCCGCGTTATTAAAGAAACCGGTATTAGGAACCCGAATGTAAGTGAGACTATCTCGGAAAAGGATGGTCTCATTATCCATTCTCAATCTAGGAGGCTGGACCGATGGGCAGAACACTTTAGGGATCAGTTCAACTGGCCTTCAGCCACTCTTCGGTTGCCCACGATCTCCAGTCATCCTGAATGGCAAATCGATTTAAGTCCTCCCAGTTTACATGAAGTTGAGAAAGCTATAGGAAATCTAAGGAGAGGTAGAGCGGCAGGTCCCGATAGGCTTACCCCTGAGATGTTTAAGGATGGTGGTCCTGTTTTAACGGTTAGACTGACCGAGATCCTAGGTAGAATCTGGGAAATGGACGTAATCCCATCTGACTGGTCTCAGTCGCTAATTGTCCCAATCTACAAGAAAGGACAGAAGTCCTCTTGTGACAATCACAGGGGAATAAGTTTAACTAATATAGTTTCTAAATTGTTAGCCTCGATTATACTTAGACGTCTAACTAGAGCTCGCGAAGAGCAGACTCGAGAAAACCAGTCTGGTTTTCGACCTGGACGTGGTTGTATAGACCACATCTTCACACTACGACAGGTCCTGGAACACAGACACACATTTAGACGTTCGACAATAGTCGTGTTCCTGGACCTTAAGGGGGCATTCGACTCAGAGTATCGTGAGGTTCTGTTGCAGTGTCTGTCATTGAAAGGTGTACCAAATAAGTACATTAACCTTATACAAGCACTCTACTCGAACACCACTGGTCGGGTGAGAGCATATGGCGAACTGTCATCTGAATTCTCTACATCAAGTGGTGTCCGTCAGGGCTGTCCACTCTCTCCATTCTTGTTCAACTTTGTCGTAGACATCCTCTTAGAGTTAACATTAAGCTCGTCAGATTTTTCAGGGGTTGACCTTCTACCAGGAAAGTCGCTTACTGATCTAGAATATGCCGATGACATAGTTCTATTCGGTGAAGACGCTGACAAAATGCAGAGTCTTCTGACTACCATAAGCAACAATGCGAGCATGCTCGGGATGCGGTTTTCCCCCTCGAAATGCAAAATGTTGCTTCAAGACTGGGTTGCTTCGGCACCTGAACTAGTGATAGGGAGTGAAGTAGTCGAGTGTGTAGATCACTTCACTTATCTGGGGAGTCTCATCAGTGCTGACGGTCTGGTGACTGACGAAATCTCAGCTCGGATACAGAAAGCTCGATTGGCTTTTGCCAACGTGCGTCACTTATGGCGTAGGCGTGATATCCGTTCGCTAACCAAAGGGCGGGTGTACTGCGCAGCAGTCCGTTCCGTTCTCTTATATGGCTGTGAAACATGGCCGTTAAGAGTAGAAGATGTTCGTAGGTTACTAGTATTCGATCATAGATGTTTAAGAAGCATTGCTCGTATATCGTGGGACAGCCGAGTAAGCAATGCTGTCGTTAGGAAACGAGTACTAGGTAAGGATGGCAGATCAATCGATGAAGTTGTGAAACTTCATCAGTTGAGGTGGTTGGGACATGTGTTACGTATGCCTAACCACCGACTGCCTCGACGAGCTATGTTTTGTGGTGTAGGAGTAGGTTGGAAGAAAGCTAGGGGCGGCCAGAACAAAACATGGCAGAAATCCATGAAGTCATTGACTAGTGGACTGAGCCATGTTGGTAATTGTCGACTACCTGGTTGGGGTCGGCGAGATGATAATAATCGATGGTTAGAGACCTTGAATGACATGGCTCAAAATCGTTTGCAATGGCGCAGGTGCATCCACTCTTTGAGCTCTATCAAATCCTAATCTTCTGGATTAGCCAGCATCTCTACCTTTGTCTTTCTAACCTTATCTCACTGAATTATATTTTTTGAATAATATCTTAAACCCTAGTCTTCTTTATTATAACATTAATACCTCTACTATCTTTATCACTATGGGATTTGATTTGACATTTGCATCTCTGTGCTAATAATGTGGTATGGCAACATGAACTTATGTACATACGTACGAAGTTCTACGTTGCAACTGACTGACTGACTGCATCAGTGGTCTAGAAGTAAGCAAATCCAGTTAGGGAATAAAAGACAGTGATTCAAAATTCAATACTTATAAAAATGCAGCTGCTCCACTGTAACTAATCCCTAGTCAAAATTCCGGGTTTTATGCCTGTGCAAGTTAACTAACAGATTCGGGAACTCCATTTACTCGATAATGGCAGCATCACTTATTAAATTTGTAATACGTTACTAAAGTGCAATAATATAAATGAATATGACAAACGAATTCGATCTCAAGAAAAATCGATCACTTACTCTACATCACACTTTCTTGATTCTCACTATTATTTCCAAAATATTAATGCTTCTCATATGGACTAGACTACTTGGGTTTCTCAGTGAATTAGCTATTGTGTATTTAATTATAAAACGCGAATACCGCAGACCCTTTCTTGTAGATTTCTAAATGTATGTCAATACAGATTGTCCACTGTAATACTCAGTAATTCATCCACGTTTGTTGATTATGAAACTCAATAACTATTTATTCTTCAGAACTATCTGTCATGAGATTTTATTCACTTAATTTTATTCTTATCTTTTCTACATATTGAAAGCTTTCATTCTTGTGGTCTTAGTGTTCGGAACATTCCTTTGCTAACCAAATATTAGTTAGCTTTCACAGTTCGCATACTGAAAGTTAACAAACGGTCTTCGGTTGACCATCAAATACAGTCTTTTTAGGATTTCCGTAACCTTGTCGTTCTACTTTACATTCTCAGATAAAGATAACCATGTTTGTTTAGAATTTTTCGTCAAATTTTCTCCATAAAATGGTCCTCGTTATATTTTATAGTTAATACTTAGTCTCCTTTTTGCATAAAATTCCATGTTGTACTTTAAATTTTTTTAATTTTCTGTTTTTTTTTTGTGCTGACTAGGGTCACCCAACGCTTCTACAAAACCACAGTGTAAAAGTGAAACAGAGCGATCAAAAGGTCATACTAAGCATGAACAGCATAAAGAGCCAACTGACTTGTCGGAAGAAAGTGACCAAGTAGGTTTCATAACATTTATTCCTTACCAACTCTGGCATAATCTCTGCTGAATAAACAAAACACTCCTTGCAACTTGTGATGCAATTTTCAACAATAGGCCATATCAATACTCATCACTTACTAATTCAATAGCTTATATTGATATTCCTACAATGAACCTTTATGATAAAATTACACTGATCTGACTAAACATCAGAAGTACTTCGTCGATACGAGTTACTAAATCATTAACTATTCGACGTCATCTTTTAATAGACAGTCATATTTTAAATATCTTCCCATTAACCTAGTATCACCATCTTATTTGCGTCTGACGAATACAGCAGTGTACCAAGTCTTGAAATATGCCATGGGGTTTTCATAACTCATGTATAGAACTGGAACTAAATCATATCCGCCACAGATATTTGTCATACGTTGATACATGTCACTTAAGAAAATTGTTAATCACCACAAGGCAACCACATCTACCAAAATCTCATTCCCTTTGAAAATTTGATCGGAGATTGTGTGTTAAGCCTGTGCTTAATGTCTCATGTAGAGTCGGGGTACTTACGTCGATTTGCCATTCAGGTTGACTAGAGGCCGTGGGCAACCGAAGTGTAGCTGAAGGCCAATTGAACTGCTCCTCAAGGTGTTCTGCCCATCGATCCAATCTTCTGGGTTGAGACTGAATAATACGGCCGTCCTTTTGTTAGATACTCTCGCCTACAGTCGGATTCCTAATACCGGTTTTCTTGATGAGTCTGAATACCGCAGCCTTGCTGGTGCAGGTATAGTATTAAATCGTAGCGCAGAAGTAGCTCTCTTAAACTGGATCACGGTAGATAGTCGATTGTGCGCTGTCCAACTAAGCGGAACAGTAAGGACTAGGAGAGATAGAGACACTCACCGTTGTCTCTGCCTACGCTCCCACTGACTACATTTCAGACAAGATGAACGATGAGTTATACAGAAACCACTCTAAACGCTTTGATATAGTAATAATGGCTGGCTTCATAGACTTGCTTTTAGGTATAACTTTATCTTTGCCCGACTCTTCAGGAGTGAACCTTCTACCAGGAGACACGCTTGATAGCTTAGAATATGTCGATGACAGTTCTATTCGGTGAAGACGCTGACGAAACGCAGACTCTTCTGACTACCATAAGCAACAATGCAAGCATGTTCGGATGCGATTCTCTCGGTTGAAGTGCAAAATGTTGCTTCAGGTTTAGCTTGTATCGGCACGTGAACTAGTGATAGGGAGTGAAGTAGTAGCAGTGCTGATTGCTTGGTGACTGACGAAATCTCAGCACGAATACAGAAGGCTTGACTGACTTTTGGTAACTTGCGTCACTTATGGCATAGACGAGATATCCGTCTGCTGAATAAAGGAAGAGTCTACTGCACAACATTTCACTCCGTCCTACTTTATGGTTGTGAAACACGGCCAGTCGGAGTAGAAGATATTCGTAGGTTACTGGTTTCCGTTCATAGTTGTCTTCGAAGTATTCCTCGTATGTCCTGGGACAACCGAGTGAGCAATGCTGTTATTAGGAAACGTGTGCTAGGTAAGGATGGCAGATCAATAGATGAATTAGTGAAACTTGATCAGTTGAGGTGGGTGGGACTTGTGTAGCGTATGCCTAACCACCGACTGCCTCGTCAAGCTATGTTTTGTGGTGTAGGAGTAGGTTGGAAGAAAGCTAGAATCGGCCAAGCCGAAATATGGCAGAAATCCATGAAGTTAGTGGCAACTGGATCGAGTCATGTTAGTAGGTACGTGTCGACTACCTGGTCGGGGTCCGCGGGATGTTAGTAATCGATGGTTAGAGACCTTGAATGACATGGCTCAAAACGGTTTGCAATGGCGCAGATGTATTCATTCCTAATGTTCTCTGAAATCCTAATCTTCTGGATTCTTCATCACTTTACCTTGTTTTAAAGTTTATTGCACTAGATTCTATATCTTGAATATTATCTTCAATCCGTAATCCTTCTGATTACTGCTAATACCTTTACTTCCTCTACTACTATGGGATTTAAAGTGACGATTGCTTATCTGCTAATGTGGTATGGCAACCTGAACTGGTTTACTTATGTACGAAGTTCTTCTATGTAACTGATTGATTGACTGATTAATTTGTAAAATCATTGGTTTATCGATATGAGCTTCAGTGAATATCGGAAATTTTCCGTCCGAAATATATTGCCGGATACTGTGTATTGCTTTAAATATTTAAGCGCATATTCATTCACTATTTTACGTTCCCAGCGTTTTGAATCTCTATCTTTTACACTTTCTATTACCTTTATTATTTCCTCCACATTGTTTGTACTAATCACCGCTTGATTTTTGATGTTAAACCCGGAATTTCAATCTAATTCTGCACATACTTCTAGTTCATTCGTTATATTTATCAAACCACTAATCCATAGACGTTAAAGTCAAGCAAGTAAATGAATAAACTCTTTAAGGTCACAAATGTTTATTGCGAGGCTGCTAAAATCTTTATCAGTAAAGCATACTGTTCCGTTTGCTATTTGTTTTGTTTACTGAATGCTTCAACACAGTTAAAAATTATCTAGAAGATACTTCTCTCTGATCCGTAAGGAATCATAAACAGTGTGATTGGTTACAATGATTTCGAACTGATATAATCCACTGTTAATTTCGTTACTTTTTGTAATTATCTCTTCACAAATTGATTTTCATTTAGTTTGTGCAAAAAGACAATGAAAGCGGTAATGGACCGGCTGTTCGTCGTCGAGTTAAAAAGCTTCCTGATCATTCTGGTGCTGCTGATGACAAAGCCGATGCTCCACTGGCTTCTGTGACTGAGCCAAAAAAAGCGTCAACTACTACTGGTGATCGCAGGTCGGTAATTATTCAACCAGATGGGCTTCTGGCTGCAGCCGCAGCATCGGTGATGTCTAGTGCTTCCCACTCTCCACCAGAATCCACAACAAAAAATGATCGAACTCAAGCCAAATCGAGCTTCACGAACTCAAAGTCAAATAGAATTGAAGGAAATGAGAATAAATCTAATCCAGAGTCTAAATCATCTGTGACAACCAACACTACTGGTGGAGGTAACTCTAAACGGTTAAGTCTGGTTGCAACATCTAATAACAATTCAGTTTCTGGTCAAAGTACTTCACACAAACGTCGATCACTGCTTTTTGAAACGGTGATACATGAACCTGATGCAAGTAAAGAGGTAAGTCAATAATTTTCTAACAATACACAGCCTGTTTTTGTCACCGACATTGTTAATGGCTAAATGTTTATTAGTATCAATATTAATACCGTTATATCCATTGCAATTTAATTATTATTTTTTAGCACGTAGAACTTAGTGCAGGTTATTTTTAGAAATAATGATCAAATCTTTATACTGTTACCTAAAACATTATTTAATTAATTCTCTGCATATTAATTTCATGTTCACATTGTACTTAGATTCATATATCAAAGTCATTGTTATTTATAATATTTCCGTAGAAAAAAGCTCGTTATTCACATCCACAAAAATATACGCCTTATGTTTTTTAAACAAAATTGTTTTGAGTATCATTTCCAACTTCTCCTTTTCCTTCAGAGGATCTAAAATGTTCACTGGTTTTTTCAAAGCTAATTCTATTGAACTTCTTTCGAAGAACCTATACTAATTGTTTAAAATGATACGAAATTCTTGTTAATGGTCATCTAACTATAAAACCTACCTTCGGTAGATTAAGATTATTTTTGTGTGACAAATATTCAATGGATGTCTAATAAGTTCACCTGTGATCGTTTTACTTGCTGATATTCTCAGTGAATTGTAGAACAAAACAACTTTCTCAATAAAATACTTTTTCAGGTGTATTTCCATAAAGCTTAACTATACCACCGAGCCGATAATAAAAGTACAAACCGTCCCAAGATCACGGCACTTGTATCAAAATATTATGTCATCTGTCGATGAAAAGATAGATGAATCTTGCTGAAAAATTACTGGTCAGTGACCGTATTATGAACAGATTTACTTAACCTGTCTAAATAGCAATAGATTTTTGACATCAATGTGTTGAGTGTAGATTTTTGCATTGCACCTGAAATTAGGGTTTGGTTTAGTGTTAGGATTTGGAGTAAGAGTTGGATTGTGTGTAACATAACATCACATGTAGACTAACCGTAAAGCATAATTCCGTTCCTAATCCAAAACCATAATCCTAATGGTATCGCCATATTCGTAAATTCTATATCATAACATTAAATAAACTTTACATCCCAATCTTCAACCCCTAATCGTAGTTCTAACGATCCGTCATTGGTGCTAGTTCTAGAATTATACGTCATTCATTTACCATTCTATCTTCCGATTGTTTCAAACTGACTAAACTCTCAAGGTCGTTCGTTGGTATAGCTTGGCTTAACCCATTTTTTCTCATGTTTGTTCATACATCTTTTGTGTAAGTGACTGGTTGTCATTTTTAACGTTACTAAATAATTCGAAAGGTTCCCGTTTAAACTTTCAAGTATCTGATAGTTATCAGTGTGAAGTGTGGTTACAGTTACTCTTGTGTAAGCGAAATTCCGTCCCGATATTTTTAGACCCATTTATTTGGTCTCCTTCATTCTTGTGTTTTTTTAAATCCTGTAGCCTTGTGATATTGAAGTGAAAATAGCCGATTTGGGTAATGCATGCTGGACTTACCGTCATTTTACTGAGGATATTCAAACTAGGCAGTATCGAGCCTTGGAAGTTCTCATTGGATCTGGATATGGACCGCCCGCAGATATTTGGAGCACGGCTTGTATGGTACGCATACTTTAAAGTTTTTGTGACTTTCATAAAAATAAAGATTTTTGTCAGTTCTGTCTAACAACTCACTGTGTAAGTTAAACAATGTACTGGTTTTTCACCTTACCAGCTCGACGAGTCTGTACAGTTAACGTATCTTCATACAAAAATATTATGCATTCGTGGCAATCTGACCAAGGTATAACCTTTGTAACGGAGTTCAGATTTTTCTTAATAATCAGCTTCCGAATATTCCGTAATTTTGCAACATATTCGAGTTGTCTAATAGTTTTTATTTTACTGAACTAAAAGTTTTCAATTTATTCAAGCACTTGGTCATCACTGTGGACACAACACAATTGCAATTACTTAGTTATCATTGAATTGAAGTACTATTTTAGCATCTATAACGATTTTCAGTATTTCTCAGGAAAACACATTTCTTTTACACATTCTCCGATGCATAGAGAAAGCGTAATGAAAAAGGAATAAAATCTCAATTTAAGACAAAAATTGTCAAGCAATCTTATCCTTTAAAGAAATAACTTTTTTCACTCAAACTTTAATGTCAAGTTTAGATTTATGGACATATCACTTCAAATTAATAACTGCTACGATAGCACAAATGAAAATACAATAAATATGCCTCTACCAGAATCACCAGTATTTATTGGTGATCTGACTCAACTTTTTTATTTTAATCCTACGTCAAATGGAATTGTGTACCAGTGTAGATAGTGACTGATATGACTTTATGACATATATTACAACTTCTTGTCAGTGCAAGTTCACAATGATCTCCTTGCCTGATTTACTTTCTTCATATGTAATTCTACATCAACGCCCAACATCGTCCACACTTCGTTTCCACCATATAACGCAGTGGGCGAACACAATGTAAGAAATATTCGTAAACTGCACATTGTTTTTAATGTTGAACAACCATATTTCACATCTAATAGGTGGCGTAAAGAAAAATTCTGTGAATCATCTTTACTACTTAGATTAGGCGATATGATATCCCGTGTACGCCATAAATAAATGTCTTATTTTAACAACTGTGAAACATGTCTTTCATGTCCATGTCAGCTAACTCATCCACGCTGATTCAACTCTTCAAATGAGTGAGTTTATCTGCAGGCTCTACTACTTCTCTCAGTGGACACCGACCATAGAATGATATTTTAGATTTAACAGATATGTCTGATGTCCAAAACCTTTAACTCGTAGCATTCAAAAGATGACATTTTGCATAATCTAGATTTTTGACTGTAGAGTCCCTGATAATCATCTGGCTAAGCTGAAGAGATCACATGTGTAGTTATATTTAGTTTTGTAGTCTTTCACCGTGAATATCGAATCATAAATTACCTCGTTTGGTTTGATATTTTCATGTACCCATGAATATATCGATGTCTGATAATGATCTAATTAACAACAGTATTGTTCACTTTTGTATTGTTTCAAGGTCAAAACGAACACATGATGTCTCGAGGCTGTATGATTAGAAATAGGGATAAGAGAAGTCTATTGTGAATGAAGTCAATCAACTACAACGTAGGACTTCGTACATACGTACATCAATTCAAGTTGCCATACCACAGCACAGAGACGCATATATTAGGGGTAATGGAAAGATTAGGGATCGAAGATATTATTCAAGAAGTATATTCCAGTGAAACGAATTCAAAAAGAGATAAGAGAAGGTCCCGAGCTCATAAAGACAAAGAATGGATGCACGTGCACCATTGCGTACGATTTTCAAAGTTTCCAACCATCGCTTACTACTGTCTTACGAACCCCGACCAGGTAATCTACACCCACAAAAATGGCTCAGCACAGTTGTCAGTGACTCCACGTTTTGGTCTGACCGCCCCTAGCTTCCAGCTACATCACAAAACATAAGTCGTCGAGTCAGTTAGTTGTTGAGCATACATAACATATGCAGTGAGTAGATAACCCTGATGGGCACCATTCGAAGTAATCGATTCCGGTGACAGATCGCCATAAGCTCTAACTCGACCGGTAGTGTTCGAGTAGGGAGCCTATATAAGGTTAATATATTTCTTTGGTACACCTTTGAGTGACAGACATTACCATAGAACCTCACGATCGATAGAGCCAAACGCTGCCTTAAGGTCCAGGAATACAAATATTGTTGGACGTTTGAATATATGTCTGTTCTAGGAGTTTGTTCTTGTTAGCTAGGTCATAACTTACGTATCCCAGTCTGAACTTCATCTACATCGTTTTAAAACGTCTATATATGTCTGATTTCTGAAAACATTCGTCTGGCTTCTTGGCTGCTCCTAGTTTTCTAGCTCTGCATAGCTGTTTGACCAAGCGTTAAACTGATATAGATATAACAATATAGATATAACAATATTCTAGCGACAGAAATGATTAGCCGCTCTATGTATATATTAACGAAATACTGAATCCCCATTATCATCTGGAGAATTCATGACTAGTTTGCAGTATCAACAGATTTTAAGTACATCGAATAGTGGAAACGGAGCACAAAATTTTCAATGCTATTCAGTTCAGGTTGTTCGTGTAATTAAGGTGGTCGGTCAACTGCATCATCGACCAAGGACATTATTCAGTCTTATTTATATCCTTATGTAATTGAGATGAAATAATCTTAAGATTGTCATGAGATGATTAAATTTTCAAACCCTCTATTTAGTGTCCATGTTTCATTCAGTACATGCTAATTATCTCGTAACATATCTAGTTTAGATAGTACACCTCTCACAAACTGCTGAGACTGTCGCATTTGAATTTATATTCCTGTAAAATGAATTATTGCAAGCGACCATAAACAAATGTTATTTGAGGATTTCAAATTCTCACCATTGAATCTAATGCTTCGTCTTCATTCTCGAATAATTAACTTAATATGTTCTGTATCTAATATTAGTTTCGAATACCATTAGAAACGTGGAAGCATTGGACGGCCATTTCGTTCTGGTATGTGACTCATTAGCAGTGCGCATCCCAGTGTCTTTCATTGAAAGGTGTACCAAAGAAGTACATTAACCTTATACAGGCTCTCTATTCGAACACTGCCGATCGAGTGAGAACTTATTGCGAACAGTCACCGAAATTGATTACTTCAAGTGGTGTCCGTCAGGGCTGTGCACTTTCTCCATTCTTGTCTAATTTTGTCATAGACATGCTTCTAGATATAACGTTATCTTTGTCTGGCTTCTCAGGAGGCACGCTTGATAGCTTAGAATATGTCGATGACAGTTGTATTCGGTGAAGACGCTGACGAAACGCAGACTCTTCTGACTACCATAAGCAACAATGCAAGCATGTTCGGATGCGATTCTCTCGGTTGAAGTGCAAAATGTTGCTTCAGGTTTAGCTTGTATCGGCACGTGAACTAGTGATAGGGAGTGAAGTAGTAGTAGTGCTGATTGCTTGGTGACTGACGAAATCTCAGCACGAATACAGAAGGCTTGACTGACTTTTGGTAACTTGCGTCACTTATGGCATAGACGAGATATCCGTCTGCTGAATAAAGGAAGAGTCTACTGCACAACATTTCACTCCGTCCTACTTTATGGTTGTGAAACGGCCAGTCAGAGTAGAAGATATTCGTAGGTTACTGGTTTCCGGGATGGCAGATCAATAGATGAATTAGTGAAATATGGCAGAAATCCATGAAGTTAGTAGCAACTGGATCGAGTCATGTTAGTAGGTACGTGTCGACTACCTGGTCGGGGTCCGCGGGATGTTAGTAATCGATGGTTAGAGACCTTGAATGACATGGCTCAAAACGGTTTGCAATGGCGCAGATGTATTCATTCCTAATGTTCTCTGAAATCCTAATCTTCTGGATTCTTCATCACTTTACCTTGTTTTAAAGTTTATTGCACTAGATTCTATATCTTGAATATTATCTTCAAACCGTAATCCTTCTGATTACTGCTAATACCTTTACTTCCTCTACTACTATTGTATTTGAATCGACAGTTACATCTCTGTGCTAATGTACGTACGTAAGAAGTTCTACGTCGCTATAGATTGATTGAATGATTTAAAAAATCTTCCTCTGTTTTTGTGTACATTAATCTTTTAATCCCACGTATTTTACAGCCTAATGGTCGATTTTTTGAATCCAAGCGTTATTCTGCAGATCACTAAGTGAAATTAACAGTCCGATATCGTTACTTCAATATTTAATTCAGCTCAATCGCCTTGTGGAAATTCTTTTGTAGGTCAAATATCCATCAAAGCACAAAGTAAACTTTTACCGGACATGAATCACAGATATCTCAGCAAGCATTCACCATTTATCCAGTTTGCACCAACCACTCCTAATTCAGGCAAAGCCGTTTGGAGTGTAAAAAGAGCTGCAAAGTAATGAACTTACACATGCTACAAGCAGTACATGTTCAGATGCTTTGACTTGGAAGTGCTCTTTGTAACTATACTGAACCTTCAAGCACTTTTTATATCTCTCGTACCTAACACTAATACCGATTTGACTGTTGTCCCTAGTAAACCAGCTAAATTTATAGTCCATTCTTTTAATAGAGCTCATTATTAATATACGACTTCAATTATATTTGCTTTTATAGGCTTTTGAATTAGCTACCGGTGATTATCTTTTTGAACCGCATTCTGGCGAAGATTATACACGAGATGAAGACCATCTAGCACATATCATTGAATTATTAGGCCCTATACCTAGGAATATTGCTCTTTCAGGCAAATACTCTCGTGAATATTTTGATAAACGAGGTACGTTAATAATTTTTTTGGTAGACTTAAAAATATTTTAGCATCAATATATATGTAAGTTAATTGCTCATTTTAGATTCAACCTTTTAACTCTAATGGTAAAGAGTTGGTATTTAGTTCTTACTGTTCCAGTTAGTAATTAATACTTTAAGACGATGGATTAAGGGTTAAGGTACTCGGCGTTTAGTGATCAGGTCGCAATACCTACTTCTGTTTGGGCGGTCACTAACCCCCATATATATTAGCACATAGTACATTAGTGTTCACTTGATCAGTAAGTTAAAGTAATTTCTGCTTTTGAGTAAGCTATTAGATTTTTTTTCCAATTTCTTCACAAGAGAAATTATGGCTTGTTTTTTAGTTTTATTCTGTTCTTGTCAAAGGTTTAGTATAAAAATTAAAATCATTGCATGCATTTCCTTCTGCTTCCAATCATCAGCTTCTTTACGTCATATACGTCGCTTGAAACCTTGGAATTTATTCAATGTTCTCACCGAAAAATATGATTGGCCACCAAATGAAGCAGCTCTTTTCACCAGTTTTCTGGAACCAATGCTCGCTTATGATCCTAATAAGAGAGCGTCTGCATGGGATTGTTTACAACATTCCTGGATAACTGGTCAACCGTATTCCCCATCAATTGAGGGAGGTCTGCCAAATCATATTCCATTTGGAGTAAGTATACCAGATTCATTGGTGGGTGAAGTCTTATCTAATCCTAGTACATATTACCATTCTCATGTCAATCAATTGAATATGATAGACCCTACAAAAACTGCCGGTTTATGTTACAGTCAACACCCACATATAAACAAACAATATCCAACTGTTCATTGCGCCGCCGCACAGTCTCGAAACAGTCGTTCTGTTAACTACATACCACCTGAATTATCTTTGAGTGGAAATGTCAATCCATCTGAATATCACTTAGCCTACGGTTCTGATATGGTTGTTGGTGGAGGTGTACCGGATCGTAGTATGTATATACCCGATTCTCACTATCAACCGTGGTCTTCGAAACGTATTGGCTCAAAACAATTAGATGTTAGCAATGTAGACGGTACAATAGATTTAGATGTAAGTTTATTTATTATTTCCTCACATGTATTTCTAGTTTGAACTTTGAAAAGGATTCAACCGTTTCAGTTGAATGGGAATTTATTTTGCTTGCCTAATCTTAAATCCCGAGCTTTGCTATTATCCACATAAAGGTTTTGTTGACTACAATGGTCATTTTATCGAAGCTAACGACAAATAAATTACATAGTTACCAATTTGTACAGTTTATGTCGCAAATGAAATATCTATCCGAAAACCATGGTCTAGTATAATGGACCGTTTAAAATGATTTATGAAAGTAAGAGATATGCGTAAGTTGCTTACATGTAATCAAAAATGTCTTCGAAACTGCTTGGTTATAGTAGAATCATTAAGTAAGTAATTTTAAGGTTAAATATAAGTGTATCTAGAAAGAATTTTCAACTGGCTGATGGAATTGTTTATCCTCACATCAGACAGCCGCTTCACACGCTATGTATTTAGCCATCTACTACAATGCGCATCATTGACTATCGTGGGTTCTGGTTTGATAAAAAATGAAGCAATTAGAAAAATACGATGCCAGTTTTTGAAGTTACTAACTGTTAGACGTAGACATTCTGGTCGTTACATAATACTTTGGCGAGGTCCTGCCGAAATCTCAACAAATATTTGGAGACTGGGTTCAAGGTTAGTTCCAGTTTTGTAGCTGACCTGATCTGTTATTGCTAACATTCTATGCCCTCCCCGAATTTCAACTCCACGGCGTATGCTTTTTATAACTTAAAAACCTATGAATAAATATTTCTTTTGCCTATATTCGTTCCACTGAGTATATGTTCTTTTTTCCTTTACAAGCCTGTTCATGTTGGAAATTTCATACACAGCCTCCCAGATCTCAGTCCTGCTCCTAGTGATGACGACTATGACGAAGAAGATGATGACGACGATGATGATGACGAGACTAAAGAAGGTGAAGAAGACGAAGATGAAAGCGGAGATGATGAGGATCCTCGAATGCATCCGTTACATCTTTCTCATTACTATGGACATCCGCCTAATGCATCATCTGTTTATCAATTTTTGGATCCACCACAAATGCCACTAGATTCTCCTGACCATTCTCATTATGCCGATCCTTTAGCCATGGCTGTAGCTGCTGGACTACCACCCAGTAAAGCTGCCATATTAGCTTATGCAGCGGAAGCTCTTGGACCAGATACTGTTTGGGCTGGTTTAGCTGCAGCAAAGAAGCGTCAAGAACAACAGGCTCAGTCGATTAATAAGAAAGAAGAGGAATCTTTAAGTTCACTCACAAATAATGATCATATTACATCACCTACCTCAACCATCATGTCTGATGGTGGTACATCATGCAATACTAATTCACCACAACAACAAAAGAAGGAAATTGATGATGAGTCACAAAACTGTAGACTTGATGTGGAAGATGTATCCACTTATTTTTCAACTTCACTTGAAGTACGTTCTGCTACGAGCTCTACAACTGAAGATATATCCAATACCCCAGATTATGTGAATAATGTATCAGATATAAGGAATTTCGATTCTGAATTACAACATTCAGTCAATGAAAATATCACTCATCAATGTACTGAACCTACAGAAACACTTACAGAAGCTTAGTTTTCAAATTCCAATTTATCTGATCTCTTTGTGTTTGAGAACCACCTATAGGCTTTCATTTTATAACTCTTACTTTAATGCACATTCACTACTGTCTCATAAAACAAAACTACGTTTGTAATTAGAATGTTCATATTAGAAGGAAAAAAGAAGCTCTTCAAATGAGTTGTCCATGTTATATGATGATGTGCATTATCACTATTATTATTATTATTATTATCATCATCATCATATTGACATCAATTTACCCAAATAAATTAGTCGTTCAATGAATATTCACCAAGTGGTAATGGTGGTGGTGTTGTCATTTCTCTTTTTTTCTTCTTTTAGCTTACATTCATTATTTCCCAAACACAAATGTGGTTGGTTTTTAAATTACATTAAGCATACAAACAGCCTCGTAAACTTGATCTAACATATATATATATATATATATATATATATATATATATATATTGAGACATTGTTATTTCAGTTTTCTTTTTGTTCTTATCTAATCCAACATATCTACCCTCTTATAATCTGTTTAACATACATTACACTACTAACCTGCACCAAAATCAGATGTAAAACCTGAGATATATATACATATATATATAATACTAGTTTCAGTAACTGCTGTACTATTCTTGTCTATAATTTTGTCATTTCCCTTCATCTCTCTACTCGTGTACAACAACTTTATCCTCTGTTTGAGCACTGAAAATTTCTCGTGTTTGTAGACATTACTTCTGTCACCATGTCCGTGTGCATATATACATATACGCATGTAATTCTTACTTAGGTTAATCATTTTGATCCTATATAAAAAATATCTTTTGCATATTTCATCGTGAGAAATAACCGCCCTATCTTCCAACAATTCAGTTGTACGTTTTAGTTGTTCGAACTCCCCGCAAGTTGAAGGAAACTGTGCTGTAAACTACACTCGCCATTAGTTTTTTGTTGTGTGCTTCCATTTTCATTGAAATCATTTCTTGTGTGTGCGTGTTTATATATATAAATATATATATCACACATATCTGCTACTGCACATGCCGTCCAGTCTATTCTCGTGTGTTTGTGAGAGAGAAAGAGAAATTGTTGTTTTTAGAACTCTTTAAGATTTGACATTTACTTGCAAAACAAAGAACAATATTATCATCATTACTTACAATACCAGTAACTGACAGCTGATGCCACACTTCTCTTCATTATTCTATTTCTGCAAAACCGACGAATCACTCTTATTTGATCAATCGAAGAAGACGTATTCAATAGTCATGTGTTATGCATTTTAAAATTATTTGATTTATTGAACATTATAACTATCTATATATCATAAATAGAAGATATGTGATCAAATGCCAATTTATGCAACCTATGTTTTTACTTTGCTGTTGTTATTGATGATGATGTAAGTAAATATTCACAAAAATGCAAAATGCCTTAATTCTATTACTATCTCATTTCCTTATTTTCAGTTATATACACTAAGCGTATACACTCACTAAACTACTTCTCATGTCCCCTTATCTCGTTTTCTACATCGTGTTAGATTGCTATAAAGTGTTGAGTGTTACTTCGGACTTTTATTCACCAAAATAGGTGTAATTGTGTTTTATTTCTTTGTGTACATGTGCTTGTCTATACATTATTTGCATCATCAACGGATTTGCAAATGAATTCGATTGTGCATTTTAGGTGACCTAAATATTTCTGGATACTTGATAACCAGTTTTATCATTCTATTCCTTGACTAGTCATTCACGTAATGACCATTACTACCATTTGCCGTATTCAAAGTGGTCTGCTCACTAAACTACATCATTTCCAGATGTGTAATAATGAATTACGCAAATATGTCTTTAATGAATCTGGTTTTGTGAGAATATTTATTTTCTTGTGTGAATAATGGATAAATGTTCAAGTTCTAAGCTAATTGTGGTTATCAGATGGAAACGAATTTATACTGTTAACGTTTTTAAAATGGTAATGCGTGTTTAGTTCTGTAACAGGTTTATTCGCTTGTCTTGGAACACTATATATATAATCTGTAAGTGTACTATGGTCAATAAAAGCATTACATCTCGTTAGGTCAAAATAGTGGTAATTCAACTCAGTTGACAAGAACGTGTCTGTTTACTCGACTTGAAAATATTTTACTGTAAAGGTTAGTAGTATCACTATTATCCTAATGGTGCAGACCTGCGAAATATAACCATCAAATCTAATACCAAGAACTTAAACATACTAAGCACGATAAAGTTAACCACCTCATATATATTTATCATGTTTGATATCTGTGACTAAGTGATTGTGGTTAGATGAAGAGATTTATTTAATGTTATTATGTTACTTTAACAACTGACAGCTGTAAACTGTGTCTTTATCGTAGTCTACATAGTATGGCGTTTGTATTAAATGTTGGTATGAATTTTTTCTTTACACCGAGTGACATCTATCTGAAATAGTAGTTGAAATTACATATGTAGTAAATAGACAGACTGATGACTTCCTTATCAGTTATTAGTTTCTGTATTTAAGGATTGCTGATCTAACTTAGATTGTTGTAAAGTTATTTTTGCTACAATAGTTCTCAGCAAGTCTATCGTAACAATAACTGTAATCTTTGGTACTGATAAACGCCAGTGTATTGACACCTTGGACACTAAACCACTCTACACTTATGGGCTCCTGTATTTCAGTAACCTAAAACCCTCGGACGAAATCTGTGAATAAACATGCAGCGAAGTATTTCCTTCAGTGGCTAAGTAATTTGTAGATGAACCTAAAGGATCGGGGTCCTATGTTTGACCCTCAGAAGTTCACGGGTTCACATCACCGAGAACCCCAATATTAAGACGAATCATGTGTCCTTCGCTTTCCAGTTTCAAAGTACTCCAACTGAAGTTGAAATGTGATATATGGCAGTTACAATGAGCCGCTTTGCTATTTATGTAGAAGGGAAGAAAGGACAATGTGTAGAACTCATCCGTCCTTGAAGTAAATATATGGTTTACTATGTGATAGTTTAAAGACTTGTGGCATGTTCAGTACTGAAACAGTAGTGTTTATATTTATTTCCAGAAATTGGGTCCATTAGAATAATGATTTAGAAACCTTAAAACGGAAAGTTTGAGAATTATTAAAGCGTAGTCTAATACAAAGAAGAAAAATGAGTAATTGTCTAACTATGGCCAACTATATTTTAGTGTTGAATATTCATGTTAAGACTTGAACACAATTCCAGTCACTACTCTACGTAGTTTTTAGTCTCCTTTTTTTACATTCCACAAGATTTTGGTTTTTTCTAATAGTCAGTGGTTATCCTATCCCTTGAACGTGTTAGTGACTATCTGGACTCTGCTACCTAGTGGATAAGGTATTTTAGTTTGAAACTATTAATACTTATATCAAGTACTAACGTAAGCGTTTACATTGAATACATCGAGCTAACTTTTCGTATGTAGGAGTAGTTTCGTTATAAACTTATGTATAAGCTACTATCGGAAATATAATGATCTTGTAGTCGCAGACAATATCAAGGTACCTGTTCAGTGATTCGACGAACAGTTGGCTCTGTCTTATTTTATAGTTGTGAAATACGACCTTATAAAGCAGCAGACATTAGTAGGTCACCTTTATTTGATCGTGTCTCCGAATCATTACTCATGTATGTTGAGATCATTGAGTGGCAAATTGGTTGCTAAAATGAATCTTAATCGACTCAGATGATTGAAACATATTGTGCGTGTTGGTACAAACGTATAGGCGGCCAATAATATAACCTGTTATCACATGAAGTCAGGCTTTTGAACTGAGTCATGTTTTGCGCTACTTATAACTGAAATCATCTACTAACAAAGATTGAGCGAAATTAATTTCTGACTATCAACCTCATGGAAACTACAGATCTTTTATAACCAGTAATGCTTGATCTCATGTACTAACTTCATTCGTTCATTCATGGGAGTTGTTGTCCAATAACTATAAGTACAATTTGAAAATTATTTTTCTTGGTTAGCAGTTCGTAATGTTAATCTACTCCAACTATGATAACCATTATCAGCGAGTTAATATTCGCTTGTGATATAGAAAAAAACATCTTCAAATTCCTAAAATACCTAAATAAAGTTTTATAGTTGGAAATCTTATCAAATCAGACGCCTACTACGATTTTAGTACTAAATAGGAAGAATTGGTCTGATTTCAATTGTTCTTATGATTGGATAAGTAAGTACCTGAGATTATTTTAGTTTTTAGCTACTCACGGATTCCAATGAAAAAATAATTGTTATGTTTAGTTTGTTGGTATCTATGTAATTTCCTACATAAATAAATCTACAAAAAAGCTAACGAAGCTATACACTAGTGAGTACTTTTCGGAGTTCCAGTGACAAGACCGTTACCAGCGGAACTCAACCTTGTCGGCTGTAGGTAGTAACTCCTAAAGACAATGGGTGAAGTTGTGCATAACCTTAGGTTGTCAGAGTTAAGCATCAATGCCAGCTCAATGGTCCAGAGGTTAGGTGTTCACACGCAAGACCGAAGGTACTGTGTTTGGTTATTGCGAGTAGCAGGTGTCGCGGATGCGCACTGCTGATGAGTAATAAATTTTTAGAGGGATTCTATTACAAGCACTTCAGATTAATAATTTAACTGGGTCATCAATGAGTTTGTCACCAGGAAATCTATGTTACACAAATGTAATTTAACTGAGATAAAATCAAATTAGATTGTAAGCTTTGATATATCTTGAGCAACCTAACAATAATCGATTCACTATGATTCTCATCTAATATCTGTGTTAAAATGGCTGCCAATTTATAACATAGCTGATATGTGAGTATGGTATACCAATAAACTCTAGAAATTCTTGAAACAATCGATATAGATTTTAGTTCGTTCGCATTCAGTGAAAATTCGTCAAAATGGGTAGTTTAACGAAAATACCATAAATATTTTACAATGGATTTGTTGAAATTTTTCATCTACAAATAAAAAAGCGACAAATTCATCTATATGGCGGTCAAAAATCTCACCTTGAAACTAAATGAATTTTGTTCCTGGTTAGAGTTAGCTTTGTTTGAATGATACACTCAATCATCATATCGCAAATTGAGTTTCCACACTTGACAATATGATGGCAAAAGATTAACGTTCATTAAATTTTCCATTTCTTAGCTACATTTTTACTGCTCACTTTACGTGATCCAAAGTTAAAGTCATTCGTTTTTTACTTTCACACCAAAACTCAAAAGCCTTTTCTTACAATCTTATTGGTTTACGCCTGTACTATACTTTTCTCGTTGGTAGAAACCTAAAAAAACTAATGTGTTGTCCAGGGAAATATATACACCTGTTCATTTCATAACGTAGTTCATGTAGAGTGAAAGGACACAATGAATCCGGATTCAAATATATATGTGGCCACTCAGTAATCCATCGGTTTTTGAAATATGTTACTAAAATCAACAATTTAGACAATGTAGTTGAAATCAAGTAAGTGATTATTCTTCTTTCAACTAGTGGATTATTAGTTTTGGAGAACTAAAGGCGACTGGAATTCCCATGATTTTGATCACAAATCGATTTTAGCTAAAACACCATTAAAAACCAGAGAAACAGTAAATTCTAATTATGTTGAATTTGGGATAATTATTACTTCTAGGCAACGGATAAAGGTTTAGCAATAAGATGAACCGATAGCATTAATTCATGCACACTATTGGAAGCTGACTCGTCAGTTTAGAAGTTATCTTTCAAGGTGTGGGCATCCGGGAATCGATATGCGCCCTCATATCCGTGATAGCATACGAGACCACATTCACATTCGACCCTTCCTCTATCTCATAATTAATCTCTTACTTCAACGACTAACCCTTCTCTCATTCCTTTTTCATGTCGCGCCGTTGATGTTAACAATTCGTGAACACGTTATCCTGGTCTCCTGAAACTCCACTCTAAACTACATGTTGGAGCTTTTAATGTCTGGACATAATGTCAAGTAGGACAACAAACTTCCCGAGCTAGGACTTTAGAAACTCGAGCCATCGATGTATGACGCGTCTCCGAAACGCGCATACAGGATCCGAGTAGAATCATTAGTTTGACTTCACGTTGTTTAGATAGAAAACCAACTCCATGATAGTTCGCCATAAGCTGTCACTCAACCAGTGGTGTTCAAGTATTGAGGTTGTATTAATTTGACCTACTTCCTCGGTACTCCTTTCAATGATAAACATTCCCACAGAACCACACGATTAGCAGAGTCCAGGAAGACAGCTATTGTCGGACATCTAAATGTGTGTGTGTTTCAGGACCTGTCGTAGTGTGAATATGTGGTCTGCACAGCAACGTCCAGGTCTGAAAGCAGCCTGGTTTTCTCTAGTCTGTTCTTCACGAGCTCTAGTTAGACGTTGGATGCTTATGGAAGCCAATATTTTGGACACTGTATTAGTTAAACTGATTCCTCTGTGATTGTCACAAGATGACTTTTGTCCTTACTTATAAATTAGGATAATAAGGGATTGAGACCAGTTGGATTGGAATACACCCAGTTCTCGAATTCTACCTAAGATCTGAGTCAGTCTTACTGCTAAAACTGAACCATGATCCTCAAAAATCTCAGTCAGCCACTAGTACTACATCAGAGCGCTTAACGTTTCGAATGAGTTTGGAAAACTTTTTGTAATTACGAGTCCTTACTGTCCCGTTTAGTCGGATAGCTTGCAAACAACTAGTTACTGGGATCCAGTTCAACAGAGCTAGTTCTGCTCTAGGGCTTAACACTATTCCTACACTAGTGAGGCCATGGGAAGCAGCATCAGGGCTTCCAGATAAACGGGGAGTTAATTAGGCTTCTTTTTTGACATTTCGATGTCAAATGAGTGATTCTACTCGATCCTGT